AGAGTACCTTTTCCAGCTCACGGCTCTGCTGGTTCACCACGGTGACATGCACTCAGGACATTTTGTGACGTACCGCCGCAGCCCTTCCTCACCTCGCAGCTCTACACCCTTCAGCTCCCAGTGGCTTTGGGTGTCGGACGACTCGGTACGAAAAGCCAGCCTGCACGAGGTGCTGTCTTCCAACGCGTACATGCTCTTCTACGAGAGAGTCCGAAGGCTGCACCTCGCTCTGCGCTCGGAGGAGTAACCAGAAGCTTACAGCCTGATTAACTTCTGCCTTTCCACTCAGACTGTCACCGCTGCATTTGCCAGTTGCTGTACAACGTGGGTACCAACAGGTGGATTATGATTCTATGAAAATGAGACCAGAGGGTTATTGTAGAGATCATTTCGCACCATGGATCACAGCAACATGTTTAAAGGTCATGGTATGATGTGTTCTGACATTAAACCCACGAGAGGACACTTTCTCTGATCCAGAGTAGGAGGCTCTCAATCCCAAAGATTATGGACCTGCAAGTTTATTTTTCTTTAAATGTGACCACGTAAGCTACTTTTCTTTGATAGATGCAACAGTTTCCTTCATGTAACATTTTGGCTTCTATGGGACAAAAAAACGGGAACACCTGACAATATAGTGCACTCCAAAGTAAAAGCCCTGCAATACATTGTTCATGTGTGAAGCTTATAATGTTATTTTTTTGTTGAGGCTGTCAGAGGTGTTAACTCAATTCTGTGGCATTTGTATGATGCAGTAGTTTTTGGTGTTAAATCGGCACGCAGTATACTTTTAAAGGTGTTCCTGTTATTTTGTCCACTGCCTGTACATTACAGACGCAGACAGAAGTAGCTGATTAGGATTTCTTGGCGCTGTTACCTAGAGGTTGTTACATATTATGAAAAGTCAAATAGGTAGAATTTTCCTCAACTCTGGTTCTCTATCGTCTAATATGCCTAATCATTCCCAGCAGTGTATGTAGACTGTATTGGAAATAATGTTTTAATTGACATCGTTCATAAGCAGTTGAATTTGATATTTTTATATGTTTCCAGTAATCCTCAAACTGTCATGATTTGCGGAGCTGCACAGTTGAGGTTAAAGTGCCATGTTGTCTTTTTTAAAAGTCCAGTGTGTAACATTCAGGAGGATCTATTGGCAGAAAGGGAACATAATATCCATACGTATGTTTTAATTAGCGTGTAATCACCTGAAATAAGAAAAGGAGCTGTTTTTTTAATCTACAGACACTGCGGGTTGCCTTTGATTCTACAGTAGCCCAGAACGGACAAACACTGGCTCTAGATGGAGCCGTTTGTGTAGTAGTTTCTCCTTCACGCTTGGAAAGGGAGGGTGAATCAGCAACCACTTCTCTAGATGCCACTGAATCCTAAACACTGGACCTTTTAACACGTGAAGCCATGTGTGCTACAACTAAAGTGAACATACAATATGATGCATCAGAGCCATTTGGCTTGGTGTTGATGTGTAACAGATTAATAATGATCTGCTCTGTTTATAAAGCCACAGTATGACTGCAGGTCTTTGGGCAAGTTATCCTGAATATTTTTAATTCTGTGTAACTGATAACTGCCATTTTGCTCCTACCAAACCAACAAAGTCACACTGAGAAATTTTGGCCTGGTGCAAAACTCCTCGTTAATTTTTTTGCAATTTGCACTAATGTATATTCATGTGAGATTGTGTGTGTATTTGTGTGCAATCTGTAAAGGTGATTGTTTTCAGGTATTAAAAAAATAAAACAAAACAAAGCATTTTAGAGTTTTATTATATTATTTGCTACACAGTTAGACGTGCGTACGATCAAGCACTGCTTTCTGAAGTATCCTGGACCAAAGCACTGAACAGTATAGCGGTAAGCAGCATATGTTTCATAAGAATAAATAAAATACATCATTTAAAGGCGAAATTGTGTGCCAATTTTGTGCCAAATGCAGAGACTGAGGAAATAATCTTTATTTGAAAGCTGATGAAGACCTTGAGATGGGGTTAAAAGCTCCAGAAAAAGCCATTAAGGTAATATGTTTTTAAAAATGAATCAACAAAAACTAATATTTACTTTGTCAAGAATGAACTTTAAAAGACTTTAAAACCCTTCAAAGAGCTACCAGGTTCAGCATCCGCAGTCAATGATGGATTCACAGGTCAGCAGACCCCTACAACATCATTTAAACCCATCCAAAGCTGAGTCTTACCAATATCACTCTAGTCCTAGTCTATTTTCTCAAACACTATACAGTAATATCAGTCCAAATCTCCCATGGATACAGAGGGGGGTCATCCTTAACAAGGTTACATTGAACATTTTAGCTAACTTACTCAATAAAAGGAAATATGACCATTCAAATATAAGGAAATTGTGATGTTTATGATTGAAATTGAGCCAACTTTACCTTTGAATTTACTCAAAAACTATACAGTAAAGTTAGTCCAAAACTCCCCATTGGGTACAGAGGAGTTCATCCATAAGATGATATTGCAAGTTTTAGTTTTTAACCTACTAAATAAAAAGAAATATGAAGACATTTTGAATAGTATCATGAAAATTGAGCAGATTTCCCCTTTAATTATCTAAAAAAACCCAGCACAGTAAAATCAGTATGAATCTTACATAGTTATAGTTTGGGTCAGTATTATTATTAGGGACCGAGCCAGTATGAACTGGAAGGTCCATATTGTTTTTCCTATGTTTATTATTATTATTTCTAGTAAACTTCAACTGCGTTTTTCAGCCCCGTGCATTGACGAACTCTCAATTTTATATTGGCAGATTTGTCAAGCCTCATTAAACTTAGAGATTCCATGCGTCACATGCAGATCAGCCAGTAGGTAGGCCACTAGGTGGCGCTATTTCGGCCCGATTTTGAAAGGCTAATAACTCCCGTAGTTTGTCTCACATTCAAAAACCTTATATCCACGCGTTCGGTGAATGGAGCTGAACCTCCCCATATAGGCCACGCCCACTTCCGCCTAGATTTTTTTTTTCTAGACCGCAAAATGTCCATAAATCACTTTTTGGTGTTCATCCTACACACTTTGTCCGATTCGCACGAAATAATTTTGCACATAGCATCTGTGGACCGTCCTGACAACAAAAGTAATTTGAAGAATTTTGATATTTTAAAAAATAAGGAAGTTTCTGTGATGTCATTTTTGCATTTCAGGGCTTCTATTTGAATGATGCCCTCCTACAGCTTCTATCGGATCTTCTTCAAAATTGGGCAGTCCAGTCACAACGTGGTGCTGAATGAACGCATTATATTTTGTGACTGTACGTTGAAGGGTGTGTCCGTGGCGTGCCCTCAAAGATGGCCATTTAGAACAAATGTCACACTGTGATGTCATTTTGGCCTTTCAGGGCTTCTATATGAATGATCTCCTCCTACACGTTTCAACGGATCTTCTTCAAAATTGGGCAGTACAGTCACAACATGCTGCTGAATGAACGCATTTCATTTTGTGACTGTACGTTGAAGGGCGTGTCCGTGGCGTGCTGTCAAAGGTGGCCATTTTGAAGCCCGTGGTCCTGTATTTGAACAAACAAAGTCCTTGAGACTTTATCAGATCTGCTTCAAAACTTGACAGGACTCTTGAATAATCTTGCTGATTACAAGTTGTGCTATTTATGACTGTACGTTGAAGGGCGTGTCCCAGGTGTCTCGTCAAAGTTGGACATTTTGAATTCTGTGGTCTTTTTTTTTCAAAGTGATGAAACACAAACACCCCTCCACTCCCACTAGCCACATCTACAAACCATATTTCCTAGGGAGTATTGTTCGTGGAGCATAGTGGGAAACTGCTGGAAGTCACTTATTAAATTGCAAGATAAATAGGGGACTTATCAAATCGACTTCATAATTGGACAGTCTTATAAAAACAAAGTGTACATGAAGAATTGAGCTATTTGTGACTGTACGTCAAACTGCGTGCCACTGACCCCTTGTCGAATTCAGACCATTTTCCATGAAACGGTACTCATAACTTCAGTGTGCAATGTCCAATCTCCAATAAACTTCATATATTCTGTAACAGTCTCGCCATGAACGCGTCCTCATAACATCAGCCTACGTATTACTGTCCCGCCATGAACTTGTCTACGTGACAAGATTCAGATAAAGTGAAAGCACAGCATACTGGCAACAGGAAGGAAGCGCTGCGTGGCGATACGGAGCTGATTTGGAGCAGTTTTACGTGACGTATTCGCGTTGCCGTCCACGCTTGTTACGACGGCACGTGGCGTGGCCTCGGCGAACCCCGACCGCACGTGACGCGTTTGCGGCGTGCCCCGACGAGCGCCGGGTGCGAGGTCCCGCCCAACGCTGCTTGCAGCTTTAATTATTATTATTATTATTATTATTAGTAGTAGTAGTAGTAGTAGTAGAGGTAGTTATACTATAGTGTTTATTTATGATCATAAAATAACGTAAATAAATAAAGTAAATGTTGCACATGATGTATTTATTTTCTATAATTGTATTTATTATTGTAATTGTAATTATTATTATTTTTAGCATGTAGTCATTTTCATAAAAGAACAGGACCGAAAATGGGTCTATGTACCTTTCAGGACTGTAGTAACAACGTCCTGACAGCGGCTCACTTTACCGCAGTCGCTCCGCAATGGAGGAAGGCAACAGCAACCCGGACCATGAGACACCCAAACCGGCTAAAAGGAAGAAGAAGAACTCATCCACCGACACCACAGACAAAAAGGTCAGTGTTTCTAAATCCATCAACAACAAAAAACTGCTACATCAGGAAATAAGAGCCTTGAATTCACACGTTTTACAGCAAAAAGAGCCGATGAAAAGCAAGAATTTGGGGCTGAATGACCCAGTTATTTGTACTCAATCCTGTAACTGTAACTGTAACTATACAGTGAAGGATAATTGTTCCAGGATTCCTCTATTTTTGGTTTATGGTGATTTATGGTGTCATGAACCGGCTCAAAGTTCAGACAAAATAAGGGAGACCACACAGATAAATAAGGTTTTTTTTTTTTTTAACCATTTAACCAATATTTGAACTAGACATAAAGTATAAACATATTAGTGTTGTCAGTGTTGTAGCGAGTGTGTGGATATGGGCCTAGTGGGGTGCAGGGAGAAAGCTAATGTGAAAAACCTTTCGAAGTAAACATGAAAGATCCTGTTGTCTGGGAGGAGAGAGACATAATTAGGTTGAGCTCCATATACAGGCCAGCAGTCAGGGAGCAAGTTAATCCAGGGACACCCCTGCCAGAAGAAATGAAAACACACACACAACAACAACCAGAATGGGAGGGGGTCATCACACTGGATATGACTGTTACACACACACACACACACACACATCTCATACTTTATCTCTGTGTATTTGTGTTGACTTTATTAAACACTATATTGTGGTGGATATATTGTGGTCCCTTCAACAGGAAAAAATCCTTAATCATCCTGCTAAAATGTCCCAATTTTTTTGCTTTTTACAAGAAAGTATGAGAACATCTACAGCTTAAGACAAAATAAACAGATCCAATTTGAACACTGAACTCCCAAAACTATCCTAAAGAAGAAGCCCCCGTATTAGGTCAGCCCAAAATACATCATTTAAAGGTGAAAACAATTGTACCAAATGCAGAGACTGACAAAATAATCTTTATATGGAAGCTGATAAAGCCCTTGAGATGGGGTTGAAAGCTCCAGAAAAAGCTATTAAGCTGATGCTGTTCTTTTTAAACAGGCTAATATTATTTAGAATAATAATAATATAAGAATAAACTTTGATGCTCAACAGAGTTTTTAAAACCCTTCAAAGAGCAACCAGGTTTACCATTCGCAGCCAACAATGGATTAACACAAGAAGCTATATGTAGACTGTAGCTCAGATACCAAAACCAGTATCGGAAATTCCTCTGATACGGCCTAAAATGCGATATCAGGTATTGGCGAGTACTCGAGTCTGTGCGTCCATCTGATACCAAAGTACATTATTCCTCCCCCCCCCCCGACCCACCACCCTACCCTGACTCCGACAGGTTTATTGGTACTCCCTATCGGCCGGTACATAAAGTTCAGGTATCGGGAGGGAACAAATGGTATGCTCCATCTTTAGCTCCACTGAACTGTTCAGTGTTGATTTTATTGATCCTTTTTCTTCAGGAACTTTACCAGCCAACTGTACAAAACGTAACCTGGTAAAAGTTGCAGAAAGTAGCTGAAGTTGTGGTTTGAAGTTTGAACTTGAGATCAGTGAGACTATAAAACGTGCTCATCAATCAGACGTTCCTTGTTGAGAATCCACACTCGGTCGTTTCTTCTGGTCCAGCAGGATCCGTCTGAAGGTGAGGTTGACGCGAGGGAGGGAAATCTTCTTGCGGACGGGGAGGCCGTGGTACCAGAAGGTGTTGGTCGGCGAATTCATGAGGAGCAGGCTCCCGTGGGCGAGCTCCAGCTTCACGGGTTCGATCTGCCGGCGGGTCCGTTTACCCCGAGTGTCTCTGTGCCGGAAGACAAAGTCTCGTGGTGCTCCCAGCGAGACGGAGGCGATGGGACAGAGGGGGTCCAGCTCCTTCTCGTCATCACGATGCTCCCCCATGTGATCCCGACCATCTTTGTACCTGTTGGAGAGACGATCACCTTCAGGCCAAACATCAAAACGGAGATCTTTTACAGCTCGTATTCGCTCACCTGTTGACCAGGACAAAGTTAAATGTTTGTCCGGTCGCTTTTGTGACAGCGTCCCGGATATATTCCAACGTGGGAGTCCACGGACAGGCCAAACGCGCCACCCCAGAATAAGTGTAGGTCAGACCTGCATCTCCGTGCGTCGCCTGCTTTCTCGGTATATCGTACACTTTTCCAAATATCTGAACTTTTGCTTCTTCCCCTGAAACAAAAAAAACAGATATTCACAAGAACACTGGAACTTCTGGTCGTAACCGTACGGGAAATAAAAGGTTAGTTTGTACCTGTTGAGTACACCACCTCCTCCTCCAGCTGTTTAAGAAGATGGTCTGCCTCCTCTTTGGAGAACAGCAGAGCGTAATCGCAGTCTAGTCCTTCGGCCTCTATTTTCTGCCAGGGAACAGGATGAGAGAACTCGTCCTCCTCCTCCTCTTCCTCCTCCTGCTTCATCCTCTCCAGTTTGATCTTCTTCCGAGGACTTATTGCATCATTAGCTGGGGAGCGTTTATTCTGTCCCCGAACCACAAACTCTTCCATAACCTTCTGTTTTTACTCCGAAGAGCTTAATTTTAGGATTATTTTGAACCTGGATGAAGTGAAGAAGAATCAAACACTAACACTGATTTTGAGATTTAAAAACCTTCAATAAAGCTGGTTTATTTTACTGTAATTCTCCCGAAATTTGCTATATTTTGTTGAATTCAGGACGCTTTTATTACAAAGGATGCGACTAACAATGTCGCTGAACCCAAGTTGACAAATTAAAACGGTTTTAAATGTTAGTGTATAGTAGTATATTAGGGATAAGTGACTACTACTATTATCTGTATTCGTAGTTTTTAAAATAACAAATGCTTATTTATTGACACATTTTACTTATTTGTACATCATCTGTACCGGATACTCGTTTCAGCCGAGTACTGAAACCCTAGTCACATATAACATATAAATATATAAAAGCAGTAAATCTTAACATTTAATAAAAATGTTTTCCTTGAAAAAAAAAGCCTCAAATGATTTATCGGGTATGTATGAAGATTCATTTCGGTTGATTGACTACTCGATTAATCGATCGAACAGCAAAGAAACATCGACATTAGGCTTTTAAAACTATAAAATATCACATAAACTACAAAACAACAGTGGAGAAAAATTATCTCTCAGTTGCTTTACCTTCTACAAACCCTACTAAACACCACGCCGCGGTTCGTCTTGAACGTCCCCTCGGCTCATTTGCATAACCCGCTTTCGTCACTTGGTTTTGGCGCGAATTACTTTGATCCCGGTGAGTTGGTTTCGGGGTTGCTGTGTTTTTCCCGGGGAGCTCGCCGCGGTTAACGAACACCAGCTACTTAAATCAACTAATAAGTGACATTAATTAGTTCAGCGCCAACGTGTTTCTCCACAAAATGATCGGACAGAAAACAATTCACTCGTTTTTTACGCCTGTGTCGAAAAAGAGGATTTCTAAGGATTTAAATGAAGCCGAGGAGGATGCAAAAGACCCGGTGAGTCGCTTCTGCTCCAGTTTATCAGCTAACAGTTACCACATGTGCAGTTTCTGGTGTTAAAACAACGGTTTTTTTTATAACATTTAAACACTTAACTTACAGAGTATTCTCAAACGTATCTCAGTTTCCCGCGACCATCCAAGCTACGTTCACAAGCGCCGCCGCGTTCTTGTTTATTAAAAGTGGTTGCTCGCAGCGGGCCAACAGCACCGTGATGTTAGCACTACGCTGTCGGCGGTTCCTAAAGCCGCTTTCACCCCCAGCTGCCCGCCTCTCACCAGCTCTGTGTTTTGCTCAATACACTAAAATTGTGCAGAAGAAGCGGAAGTCCTCGGCGCCGGAGGGAGCCGGCCCGCCGCAGCCGTGCAGCCCTCCACTGTCCCCGGATCAACTGGAGAGGATCGCCCGCAACAAGAGAGCCGCGCTGGAGAGACTCGCTTCCGCTCAAACGCCTCCAGGTTTCGGGCAGAGCTGGAGAAACGGACTGTCGGTGGAGTTTGGAAAGCCCTATTTTAAACAAGTGAGGTGGACACACACTTTTTTTTTTCCTTTAAGTAGTTGTTTTAAAAATAAATGTTTATAATAACTTCATATCTCTGCCACAGTTGATGGGTTTTGTTGCCGATGAGAGGAAACGCCACACCGTGTATCCTCCTGCTGAGCATGTCTTCACCTGGACGCAGATGTGTGACATCCGGGATGTGAGTTTAAAAACCTCTACTAAAGCTTAATGCAGCAACAATCTATAAAATTATATTTATATTTTATATTAATAAAGAGGGAAAACAAGAAGACAAGTCAACTCCAGGTGCAGCAAATCTGCTCTTACACAGGTGTACTTAACCATGAATCCCACTTGTTATTTTTATTAGCCAGTTGTTGTCGTCCTGGAAAACCTGGAACTAGTTTTGGAAAAAGGAAGTTGATTAAAAGGAGCAAATATGTAGAAATAATAACATAATATTTAGTTTGAAACTTGTATGCAGTATATATGATATGACACTTCATAGCATACAGCCTAATAATCCTCATAAATACATGCACAGTGATGTACACGTAATGAACACTTTAACTTCGTAGAAGATGAATTATCTGTAAGATAGAATAAATTCTGCTTGGTTTGAACTTTGACTGATGAGGCCGTGGCCCCAAAACAGCAGCTTATATAACCGTTTGTAAGAAAAACCTCTGGAAAATGTTCCAGAAAAGTAAAAGAAAAAGAATTAAAATAAATAAACACACCAAATACTAAATGAACTAAAATAGCACAATACAGAATATAAGATATCTATAAGATATTCATATATTTTTGATGGATAAGAAGCTGAACACATGTTTGTTTTGTCCTTTTTTAAAGATAATTGTGTTATGTTAGTTAGACAGTTAATACACATACCCCCAACCGCCCGCTGCCTAGTGAAGAGTCAGTTGTATCAGATTTGCACTGATACGGCGTTAAAGGAAGAATTTCTATCATGTAGGAAATTAAAACTTCTGCTCTTCCACTAATCATCACAGTCTCCTCACGTTCACTTTCTGTCTCTAATTCCAGGTCAAAGTGGTGATTCTTGGCCAGGATCCGTATCACGGTCCTAACCAAGCTCACGGGTTGTGTTTCAGTGTCAAAAAACCAGTGCCTCCTCCACCCAGGTATCAAACCTTTTTCATAACCTTTCACTACTTTTTGTTTTTTTGGTTTTTAAACTCTAACTTTTAAATCAGGTGGTGACACATTTATTAAATCCTCGCTCCCTTTTTTTTAATCTCCAGTTTGGAGAACATGTACAAAGAACTGGTCTCGGACATTGACGGCTTTCAGCACCCAGGACACGGAGACCTGACTGGGTGGGCCGAACAAGGTACATTTAGAAAAGTCGTGTAAACATTCAACAAACAGCTTTCTGGTTATTAAAATCTCCTCCTGTTATCCGTGACGTCGCTCTCCAGGTGTGTTGTTGCTCAACGCCGTGTTGACCGTGCGAGCGCACCAGGCAAACTCCCACAAGGACAAAGGCTGGGAGACGTTCACCGACGCCGTGGTGCAGTGGCTCAGCAACAACTTGGAAGGCCTCGTCTTCATGCTGTGGGGAGCGTATGCCCAGAAGAAAGGAGCCGCCATTAACAGAGTGCGTCTACGCTGTTTGTTTTTTAACACTTTAACACTTTTTAAAAAAAAGCTTTTTAATCGCGTTCGTGCTTCTAAACTTTACGTTCTCTCTCTCTCTCTGTAGAAACGCCACCATGTCCTGCAGGCTGTGCATCCCTCTCCGCTGTCCGCCCATCGAGGGTTTTTTGGGTGCAAGCATTTCTCAAAGGCCAACGAGCTGCTTGAGCAATCTGGGAAGTCTCCCGTAAACTGGAAGGCACTTTAAGTTGTTACGTATGCTGGTTAACTACAGACCCACCCATAAGCTCTTCTCCGTTTTCCTGTTCTAGCATCCCGAATGTGCAGAGATTCTTTATGAAAGAGGTCGTGTCGGCTTCACGCTGTACACTGCTGACAGTTGTGATACATATCTTTATCATCTGCACTCATTTTCAACACTGTAAATATGTTTGTGTCTAGTTTTTTTTGTTTTTTTTACCTTTTTTTTTTGTTGGTGAACATTTGGTTCTATTAAAGTGGTTCCAAAAAGTGCACGTGGTGTATTAATGTTTGCTGACTTCCTCAGATATACCGCTGTCCCTGTGCTCCACTGCAGAGTTTCAGGACCACTTTCTCATCAGGTTTTGTGAATTTGAGCCTCAGCAAAAAGTAATTAAATAAATTACAAGGAAAAGAAATTAATCAATTATGTTTTATTTGGTTTAAAACTCTCTATACTTTGATCTGTGGGACTACTTATTAACATATTAAGAGTTAAATGTATAACTGTGTCTCTTAAACAGTTATTGGTTGTTTTTATGATTTATTTTGTCCAACAACCTTTTAACGCTTTTATTTGATTTATGAGGCCGGTCCCTGCTGCTTAACATGTTGGCTCACAGGCACATGAAGTGACTTATTAATGTTTCAACGCTGCTTTTTAGTCATGTTGTTGGTGAACCGGTCGACTATATGAGACCCTTTCTTGACAATAAGACAATAATAGGACGTTATTAAAAACAATCCAGAAATGTCTCACTTTGGTAACATTAAGACTTGAGAGTTGTGGGACTTCTGTATGTTACCAGCATGTAAAACAGTTCAATGTTCTATTATACAAAGTGTAATGTTAAATTTATGGTATTCTGGAAATGATGAGGTTAATATAATTTTACATTGTATTAATGAAGTTATATATACCGTATGCACACATAATCATAAGTCAAACTGTTGCTAATTCCACTGAATTGGTACTAAATGAGGAGTCATAGATCCGGCATGCTAAAAAGAGCTGGATTTCCCATCAGTTGTGTTTTTCCAGCTATAACAAGTCAATATGTCTGCCATTAGTGACTGTAACAGGACCAGGAGAGGACAGATTAACTGAAACGTGCTCTGCATCTTAAAGCTAGGGTTGAAAAAAAACTTTAAAAAAAGCTGTGAAACATTAAAACAAGTAGATAAATGTACATTTACATTTGGTCAAATTCACTTAAAAGATTCATGTTACTGCTTTAATTAAAGAAATACATTATTTTAGGCTTGTTGCCAGTTTGGAAAGTAGCAGCGTTGAACGATGCTTTAAATTATACTCAAGGATAAATAATATGACCATTGCTGAGATCATACAACAACAGTATCATCATTTTAAATCATATATTGTTGTTTGCATGCATTTGCTGGCACCTTTGACCTTTGCTATCATTTTGCGCCAAAAAATCAAAAAATCAAAATAGAATTATGTTTTATTTTAGTTTAAATTGTAAAGAAACAACTAGAAAATATATAATAATCTTGCAGGACAGATTATAATTCAGGTCACCGGTCGGAAGGAGGATTTGGGGCCGGAAATGGCCCCCAAACCCAGCAGTTTGAGCTCCCTGACCTAAAGGGACCTTTCTTTATTTTAATTTAGTTTTATACTCTTATTTATGTATATTACTTTTATTTTATTTATTTCCCTGATGTTTGTTCTTTGTGCTATCCCCTGCTGCTGTAACAAACTGATTTCCCCCATTATAATAAATATATAATAAAGGATTATCTTATCTTCTCTCATTTTATCTTATCTTATATGTCATGTTGTTTTTAATGTGTATGTTTATTTCTTTGCCCACTCTGCACAATAATTTCCTCTTATGGTTATAATGTTATAAAAAAAACTAAACAGCCTTGTGTATTTTATCTCCTATATTACTATTTTTATTATTTTTTGTGCTTTATGAAATATTACAGTTAAAAAAAAAAAAACGTTCAGTTAAAAATAAACAAATAATATAAAAATAAATTAATAATATGATGACGTAAAGGCGTGGCTCCACCACTGACGCGCCGACGTGCAGCGGAAGTCTCCGGCGGGGCTGCTCTTCAACTT